TGTACTTCGTATGTCATAACTCGATTGCATATTGGAGTATATAGGTTGATTCCTAGGCAATAAATGTATTAAATGTTGAGCAATAAATGCTCTATATTACCATACATTCATACGTGTATCATACATAGTAAACATGTACGAAGTATTATTTGATTTGATCATGATTTATGGGCAATAAATGCTTCATCTTACTAAATAATATTCATACGTATGTACGGTATGATTTCTTCTCATGGACACGATTTCACTTTTACATTTTACAATAATTTCCCATTATACCCTTAATTTGGGCGGGATTTTTCCCTCCAATTGCTGTGCAATGACTGTTACTTTATATTATACTAGATAAAGTACCCGTGCGATGCACGGGGTGTATCTAGAATAGTATAAAAGTTAATGTAAAATTTTATTTTATTAGATTATATATAATGTATATTTTTATCAAATAAAAAAAGACAATAGAATTTACATGCTGTAGCTTTCATTATATAATATAGCTGTAAGAAAATAAATTTTGGTTTGTATGGAAAATTGGAAGTAAAAATTAAAATAAATAATAAGGTGTAATATAATAAACTATATGTATGTGATGATGGGAATTAAACATAATGTAAATATTAGAAGGTCTCGTAAATTAAAGTCGTCTCAATTTTCCTTTTCGATTCGTTCTACTAAAATTGCCTAATATCAAAATTAATAAATTGTATGGTTTTAAATTATTCTTATTTTATCAGTTCAATATTAATTACATAAACTTACTTTTCAACATCTATTTGTGTCTCAATGGTAGTGAAATGAAGGTAGTAAGAACTAATATCCCATTATTTTAGGCCCCACTATGAGGCAACAATATTGGAGAAAATTTGGTAACTTTATTGTACTTTATATTATTTTTACAAAGATATAAAAACAAATAGTACATATGAGAAAAGACTTTTTACCAAAGTTGAATTATTATTATTAGCATTATTTTTAATTACAACTAATTTTAACAATGACCATATATGAAGTAAATGTTATCAATTTATAGAGATAAAAATCAAAATCATGCGTGGAAGTTAATGATAATTTGTTACTCGATTAGAACTTTAACCTTTCTCTTTAAGGTGACACTTATCATGAGGCATGAACATTTGAGACAAAAATTATTACAGCTTTATTTCTTTATATTATAACATAAATATAAATAGAATAGCTGAAAGAAAGGATCGGACTTCTTACAAAATTAATGAGAAAAGAAATTTTACTTTCGGCGGGAAAATAATGAAGCAAATTATTATTACAATTTTACTACTTTGTTTTATAAAAAAAATCCAGGATCATTATTTTTATGATTTTTCTTGTGACATCAATATGTCATATATAAATTTCCAAACAATCCAGTCATTTTTTGGATATTTGATGTCATAAATATAAAACTGTTTATACAAAAATCCAGGATCTTTTTATATCTTTCTTTTATTTTTGGCAAAAATATGTCCAAAATAATAACAAAATAAAGTCCAAATTTAGTTATTTTACATCAGAATGTATGAGGTTTTATGTCATAATTGTCCATAAACAGTTATTATAAAAAATTGATGAATTTTAATGGTAAAAGTAAGGATTAAGTTACAAAATATATGGTGGTAAAATTATTGATGTTGTTGGATCGTAGAGAAATAAATAAATTGACAGAATGAATACAAATTAAGTTTACACATAAATTAATTGAAAATTTGATCTGTTAACAAAAGTAGCTAGTAGTTGTTCTATAAAAAATGAAAGTAGTAGGAGTAAACTTGTGGTCATTACCGTCACCGTCGAATTTATTATTCTGTAGTAATTTCAAGGCATGTAATTAGTGTTCCTAATAACATATCCAATACTACAATATACACGGTGCAGATGCGAAGTGAGCAAGATAAACACAAATAATACATTCATGACATTTCTTACTGCTTCTTTTCATAGTCTTATTAGTTTTTGATAAGTGTTTTTCAACAATGTCATTGACACTTTAAATAAGGATAGAGACACGCTCTACCTGATTTACCAAGCTAGTTTTGAAAGTATATATGGTAAGAGTATATTATTATTTATTACAATTTGTCAATATTTTAAAAGTACTAATTATATTACTACTTCAGAATTAAGGGAAAATAAGAGAGCTTGTTATATGACTTATATCCTTATATTATTATACATAAATTAGTTATGAAGAATGAAGCAATAATTGTGGCCTGGTATTCTTAATCAGTTGATTAAATTAGAATTTGACATCGATCACATGTACAAAATTGAGAGCAAACTGATTTCTGTGGATGGAAATTAACTAATTAAACATAGTATGCACATAAGTTAATTCAGTATAAAAATACATTAATGATTCTACCGAGAGTATCTCCTATCTAATGCAAAGTAATTACCATTTGTATATATTTTATGGTGGTAAAAATAGAGCTGAGCCAAAAGTTGTAGCAAATTTGCTACTTTATAAGTAGTATAAAGATTAGAATTACTGATACTTCAAATTAATATTAGAAGAACGTTAATAATTGGGATTATCCATAAGTGTTCATAAAATAACCGACATAGGGATTGAGAGTATTAAATGGGTATTAGTTTGAGTTAGTCCCAATGATCCTTTCGGTTTATCGGTCTTATCAGCCAATATCCCCTAAACACATAAGTTTTAATTAGTAGCGCTGAATTACTAAAGTTACTTTTCTGACTGAATTGATTAAAGTTATAGGATCCTTTTTCCTCATATAACTTAGAATCTGTTCTGTCAATCTTATTCGTATAATCGTATTACTTGTTGCTTATTCTTTTTTTTACTCAGATCTAATCAAATCAGATAAGAAAGATTTCGATCAGATTATAAATATTCAGATCAGAAAATGCCGATCAAATCAAAATTGATAAATTATGTCTTTATTTTTCTCAATAAGAAAAATAAAGACATAATTTATCAATTTTATTATTATTATTATTATTATTATTATTATTATTATTATTATTATTATTATTATTATTATTATTATTATTATTATTATTATTATTATTATTATTATTATTATTATTATTATTATTATTATTATTATTATTATTATTATTATTATTATTATTATTATTATTATTATTATTATTATTATTATTATTATTATTATTATTATTATTATTATTATTATTATAGTTATTATTATTATTACAAAGTATTATTATAATTACCATCATTACCATTATTATTATTACTATTATTATTATTTTTATCATCATCATCATCATCATCATCATCATCATCATCATTATTATTATTATCATCATTCATTTTATTTGAAATCTTTTTACATTCATTAAGAAAAATAGATGCCGTATATAAATAAAATCTCAAAATGGAAGTTAAGTTATACCACATGGTCATTATAGCTAGCTTTCAAAAACTATCTACGTTTAATGATTAAAATATTACTCCGTAGATACTACGTATCAATATTTAGTGTTTAAATTACATGTTAGCCATTTAATTTGTTAGTTTAGAAATAAATGATGAAAATTTATAAATTATAAATGATTTCACTCAATCTTGTAAATTTGGTAATGACTAATTTGGTACGTATGTGTAAGTGTGTAACTTTAGTGGTTTCTAGCTAAGGCAATCCAATTTACATTTTTTGTCCTCTTTTTAGGCGGGAATGGGCGAGAATTTTTCCTCCAATAATTGTGCAAAGACTGTTACTTTATATTATATAAAGAAAAGATATATAATATAATATATATGTATATAATATAAAGATATATGTATTGTAAGGAAAACAATTTCAATTTTTTTAAAAAAACTTCTACATACGTTGCATGTAAACTACATGTTAAAATAATTGTAGTAAGAAAAATTACCATTTCTATATACGTTGCATGAATACTGAATATGGTTACAATTTTATATTGCAATTCAATTACCATTTCCCCCTAATTGATTCCTTATTATGTATGGTGAAATAAATATGGCAAGATTATGGCCAAATTGTTGCCCATTCAATTAATACGTACACCTAATCTAATTATTACCAAATTTACTTTTTAGATTAAATTCGTATTCTGACCTCAGTTTGGGCGGGATTTTTCCCTCCAATTGTGGTGCAGCGACTGTTACTTTATATTATATAAAGATAAAGATAGCAATGCAAAATTCACTTATGGTCTATTTGTTTCTAAGGATGTTTTCTTTTGGTCTGAAACTTACTGGTCTGGTCTGGTCTGGTCTGGTAAAAGTCTGGTCTATGTGTATCTTATAACTACATATGTCAGATTTGGTCTAGTCTGATCTGATCTGGTCTGGGACTGAAAACGGCCCAAAAGAAAACATTCTAAGTGCACCTTATTTCTTTTAGGGCTTAGATTTGAGTTTCATTGTTTATTTACTAGAAACTTTTAGGTTTGTAAGGATTAGAGGTGTGCTTCGTATCAAAATATCTCATATCTCATTTTGAAGAACCTCTAAATGAGATTTAATTTACTACGTATAACTTTAACATGTTCTCTGATGTTATTAGACATTATATTCATCTCGAATAATTATCAAAATTATATTTCTCTTATGTTAGTATTTATATATGCACCAATGTTACGTTTACGTACCCAACTACCCAAGCACTCCCCCCCCCCCCTCCCATGTTGTTATTGGTATAACCCCAATTAGAAAAGGGGTATTCTACTTCCAAACAAATTCCTCTCAATTCTAGATCCATTTAAAAGTGTGCATCACGATTTATGATGATTGATGGGAATAATAGATATAGGTTATGATTAGTCCACAACACAAATAAGACTTTAGAAGTTTAGAAATTTGTAATGGAGCAAAGTAAAGGATCAATCTTCTTTCAAAAAGAGATACAAATATGCTGAAATGGCAACTAGCCCAATTCCAAACACAAAGTATATTTTAGTGAATGGGGGAAATAAATGGTATGAGTAAATCCATGAACTTAGTTGGATTCTTCTTTTGAATCTATTGCATTCTTAATTGTGCTATTCGTCAGTTAGATGTCAAAAATGCATTTTTACATGACAATCTCACTGAAGTATATATGTGTCAGCCTCCTGGTCTCATTCATCCACAATCTCACTGGATTTTTCCCTCCAATCACTGGATCATCCACAATTTTCTAATCATGTTTGTCGTCTCCGCAAAGCTATCTATGGCCTTAAACAGGCTCCTCGAGCCTGGTTTTATAGATTCAGTAGTTTTTTGCTGACGCATGGTTTTGTCTGTAGTAAGTCTGATAATTCTTTGTTTATATATCGACATGGTTCCTCACTTATCTATCTTCTCTTATATGTCGATGATATCATTGTCACTGATAATTCCCTTTCCTTTATTTCCACTTTTATTTCATGTCTGGGCCGATGCTTTGCTATGAAGGATTTGGGGGATTTACACTTTTTCCTAGGTGTCCAAGCTGTTCGAGTACCATCTGATTTATTTTTATCTCAGCAAAAATATGTGTCTGATCTTCTCACCAGATTTCATCTTCACACTCTTAAGCCTGTTCGGACCCCTCTTGCTACGCGAACTAAACTTTCTCTCACTGATGGGGATCTCCTAGCAGATCCGTCTGAGTATAGAAGTATGGTAGGTGCTTTAAAGTATTTAACTATGACTCGACCTGATATTACATTTGCTGTTCACTTGGTTTCCCAATTTATGCATGCGCCCCGTACACCTCATCTTTTGGCTGTTAAGCGTATTTTCAGGTATCTTCAGGGGTCTATTTCACATGGGTTACTGCTTCGGCCGAGCACTTCTACTCCTACCATACAGGCTTACTCGGATGCTGATTGGGCCGGATGTCCTGATAGCAGTCGGTCCACCTCTGGTTTTGCTATTTTTCTGGGTCCTAATTTGGTCTCTTGGAAGGCCAAGAAGCAGCCTACTGTGTCTCGTTCTTCCACAGAGGCTGAGTATAGGGCAATTGCATACACTGTTCAGGATACTCTACATATACGCTCCATTTTATTTGAGTTGTGTTTTCCTGTGCATGCACCAGTCACACTTATGTGTGATAATATTTAAGATTCTTATTTGTCAGCTAATCCTATTCAGTATGACCGCAGTAAGCATATCAACATTATTGATGATCATTTTGTACGTGAGAGAGTTTCCCATGGTGATCTGGTTGTTCGACATGTTCCTACACAATTCCAGCTAACGGATATTTTTACTAAGAGTTTATCTTCGCAGCATTTTATTTTTCTTAGGGACAATCTGCGCATTGTTTCCCCTGCACAGCTTGAGGGGGTGTATTAATGTAATTAATACTTTAATTAGGTTTCCATAGTTATTTTGTTTCCTAATGTACTTTGAACTCTCTTATTATATATATGACATCTAGGCTACCACATTGGGTATGTCTTTCCATTATTTTCACACTCTTTACCTCAGATTCACTGCTATTGTTTCACGCGCTCATCTGAGACCAAGAAATAAAAATTTTCGTAAGTAAATTTAATAATAGGTAGATTCTATGGTATCCGTAAGGTCCCATATTTTTGTCCACTAGACCAATCAGAATGTTGCAATTGAATTATTTAAGTCTAAATTAAAATTGATATACCTATTTGGACCAATCAAGTGAATGGTAGGTACGGTACCCCATTTTTTAAATGGGTACCGGAGTTCTCACCAATCTAATACACAATATTTTAGTAATTTTCAACTTTTTTAAAAGTTTTAATTTCTTAGTTTCTAATAGACATGAGTTTTAACCAAGGTATTTTTTGGCCAAGCACTTTGTGGTTCAATGACATCACTGTGACACTTCCAAGGAGGAGGTCACAGGTTCGAAACTCATCCTAATCAAGGATGTTGGCATTTAACAATGAAGTAAAAAATCTAGCAAAAAAAACCAAGGTGTTGTTTGTTTGCCTTGTTTTTTCTCATTTGCAGGAAGGAGAGACTAAATTGAATGCTAGTATAGCAGACCCAATATATCACATGGTAAGAGTCGGTGCTCCAAATAAGGTACAAATCTACACCACTCCATTACAGGATTCCACTACTTCTTCTGCGATTTTCTTGCTTCCAGCAACCTCACAAAAATACGTTTTGCGACCAAATACCATGTTAGAGTGAAACTCTATGTGTGAGCCAGCTAGAATTACCGTCCTAAATGAAGGCCACTTTATGGTTTTCTGTACAACATACTTATACGTACAATATCAACTTGCAAAACCTAGGTTTTTATGATTAACATACCGAAGCAAATCAAATACTAGTACTTGTCTTCGCGAGAAAGATTAAGAAAACTTAATACTCCATATTATTTTGTTATAAGTATAGCTGAATGTTATATACATTACACATATACCTTGTAAATGAGTTAGCAATTTGCAGGGTGTTTTACCAAAATACGGGAATTCTTAACATCCGTTGTCAAATTACGAGGAAAAACTTAGGGTTTTCAAAAAAGCGAAGGTCGGAATTGGCTCTTCCGACCAGAGATAGGGTTTTGAAAAAATAGGGTGTGCTTAGTGTCGGATTTGGCTCTTCCGACTAGGGGTTTATTTTATTTTATTTTTCCATCCGAATTATTTTAAATGATGAAGTGCTTTAAATAAAGTTAGGGTATACCCAGACATGTGGTTTTTTTTATTAAATATACCCAGACATATTTTTGCACTTTATGTATGCTTTGGTCTCATATTGAGCAATTTCTATATTTTTCCCAAATAGAAAGCATGTAACATACTATAAAAAAATGTATATGCACCCATCATCTCAATATATACACATACCTACTATACCATTAAGGGGAGAAGCAATCAATTTCTAATAAATTAATGTTCAAAGTCATACATATATAGACATATAGTCAAATGTGAAAGGTGGAATTTATGGTATAATAGTTCGCAGAGATAAGAAAATAACTCGGAATAGCAGGTCATCAACCGGTCGGGGACCAATGAATGAAGATGGGGTGCAAAGGTTGGATTATTCATGAATAACGAAAAGGTCGGACTATTAAAAGAAGACCGTTAAAAGGTTGGATTATTAGTTTTCATTTTCCCTTAACCAGGGGAGGATCTATGTACAGGCTATGGTAGGCTGAAGTCCAGGGTAACTTTGAAATTTTTCAATTTTTTAAGTGTAAATTTTTTCATTTTTCGCATTTAGCTCACCCCTTTAATATTTAAGTCTAGTATAATTTTTATTCAACCCAGGGCATCTAAGATTCCTGGATCCGCCCCTGCCCTTAACTAAATTAGAAGGTAACTAGTATATCAAAATATCCTTCAATCCATATCATTCCATGACAAAGAAAAAGAAGGGTACATATTAAATAATGTAGGAATTGAAAAAGACTTGAAATTTGGCGTCCTATTAAAATAGCCAAAAAATTACGCAGCTGAGACAAATTAAATCCTCTCATTTTCAAAAGCCTTTTCAAATTCAACAATCAGCAAGCGGATCGGGATTGGGATCGGAGTAAAAGCATACAATTAAAAATTAAAATACAATAATTAATGCCCAAATTACAAGAAACTCGTGCATGCATTAATGATTAACCGGCCAACCTAAAGCAACAACAAAAATCTCATCAGATCACTTTTTGACGTTTTTGATTTCATGTTCCTCCCATTCTTTATCCTCGGAACCTCCGTACGGAAATTGAGGAAGTCCCATGAATTGATGGTGATGGTGATGTTGATGTTGATGATGGGATTGCGCCGTGGAACTTGTCGACGATGTCGGTGAAACGAAAGTTCCCGGCGACGCCATTCCACGGCAGTCAAACACTAGGTCATCCCGGAAGGTGGGAGGGAGAGCGTTGACCGCCGTTCTTTGATCGTCGCCGATAACAATCTGCGCCGCCGCCGCGTATTGGTCATCGAGAACGGGAACGTAATATGGAAGGGGGAAATGTGGGAGGAAAGGAGAAAGGAGTGACGGCGGCGGAGTTGCGTGGAACTGGAGCTGTCGAGTTTGGTGGTGGTAGTAATGGTGGGGTGCTGCCGCCGTCGCGAACTGGTGGGGTTTTCCTTGAACTCTCTCAGGGAAGTTGAGCTTGGCTTTGCTGCCTTTGAACCTCAATGCTGCCTCGTCGTAAGCTAAGGCGGCTGACTCCGCCGTGTCGAAGGTTCCGAGCCAAACCCTCGCCGCCTTCTTTGGGTCTCTGATCTCCGCCGCCCATTTCCCCCACGGCCGCTGCCGCACTCCTCTATAGTGCCTCTTTCTTTGGCTCCGTTCTATACACATACACACATGCAAATATTGTAACATGGTCTCTTGATTTTAATTTCTTGTACAAATTTTTCAAAATGAGAGTAAAATATACAAATAATTTAAATACAACTACATACATTCTCCTTCAAAATAAAACTTATTTAATCTTGTCAAAAGAATACCAGAGACAGGGCACTGGGTTGGAATGATCGAGCCGGTACAAAGAATATTTTTGGAAAAGTTTTTAGACTGGATTTTTACACTAAAAAATAAGGATTTTTTAAATTTGGGGTGGGTCAAAGCCAAAGTTTAATTTCCCTCTAAGCTACGCCCCAGAGTGGCTGAGTGCATGAACTAGTAATATTTTGAAAATAAAACAAATGCATCTGTATTAGAGAAAATTCAATATTTTTACTCCTATATACTCCGTACTTCATATGAAGAGATTTTTCTATTGTTTTCCCATTGATACTTCTATGGACTACATACAATGGTAACATTTTGCATCTCCTTTATATAGCGACGCAAAGTGCAGTTACGTTATGGTCCGTTTGTTTCGAAGTGCACCTTTTTTAGGGCTTAGATTTTAGTTTCACTGTTTGTTTACTAGAAAATTTTAGGGTTTTAAGAATTAGAGGTGTGTTTCGTATCAAAATATCTCATACTTCCTCTGTTCTTTTTTAATTGCAATGGTCAACATTTCACACTTGTCAACGCACGTCTTTGACCATAATTATATCTTAATCTCTATTAGTAAAAAAATTAAAAATCATATTCTGAAAATTTGTAATGAGATGAATTGAACAATATTTTTTTTGAAAAATAATTCTTAAAAAATAATAGCGTAAAATGTAGTCAAAGTTGAACATGTGAATAGTGTAAAATTCAACATGTTATGATTAAAAAGAAACGGAGGATAGTACTTCGTATCTCATTTTGAAGAACCTCTTAATAAAGGTTTCCTGTTGAGATTTAATTTACAACGTATAACTTTTTTATTTTTGGAAGAAATTTACAACGTATAACTTTAACATGTCCGCTGATGTTATTAGGCATTATATTCATCTCGAATAATTATCAAAATAACATTTTTCTTGCACTGGTATGTATATATGCACCAAGGTTACGTTTACGTACCCTACCCAAACACTCTTTTTTCTCCATGTTGTTATTGGTATAACCCCAATTAGAAAAGGGGTATTCTACTTACAAACAAATTCCTCTCGATTCGACATCCTATTTAAAAGTCCATCACGATTTATGATGATTGATGGGAATGATATAGGTTATGATTAGTCCACAACACAAATACTCCCTCTGTCCCGAAAAGGTTGGCCAAAGTTGAATTTCACGTGAATTAATAAAGTAGAAATTGTGAGATCGAAATTTGTGCAGAGGAGAAAGAATGAATTTTAGCCACATATTCTTTACTTTAAATGAAAATGACAAATCTTTTTGGAACATTCAATAAGAGAAAATTTGACCAACCTTTTCGGGGTGGAGAGAGTAAGACTTTAGAAGTTTAGGAATTTGTAATGGAACAAAGTGAAGGATCAATCTTCTTTCAAAAAGAGATACAACTATGCTGAAATGGCAATCAGACAAATTCCAAATACAAAGTACTACGTACTTTGAGTAAATCCATGAACTTAGTTGGATTCTTCTTTTGAACCTATTGCATTCTTAATACCAATACCATTCAATTGGGTAGATGAATATTTTGAAAATATTGTTCTTTGACTTATTTCCATTCTTATTAGTTATTCCAGCCACTAAAGATTATGTTAAGTAAGTCTCGCTCTATCCTTTTATAAGATACACTTTCCTTTTTGAATTGTCCCAAAAATATGAACACTTTCTTAAATATGAACTCTCGAGAATTAAACTTAAAACATCAACTTAACTGACTCACTCAGCCATCGTTCAACTATATGAAGTGTAAATTGAAAAGTTGGGTGGGATCCTGGATATAATTTATATAAATTATAACATATATTTGTATGCCTCTAAAAAAAACATATATTTGTATGTATAATTGTATATATACCTTGATCTTGAGGATTGGGTTGAGATGGTTGTTGAAGAGATAGGTCACCAGTTTGGGGTTGTAGT